CACCCATCACTAGTGCAGACAACCACACCCATCACTAGTGCAGACAACCACACCCATCACTAGAGCAGACAACCACACCCATCACTAGTGCAGACAACCACACCCATCACTAGTGCAGACAACCACACCCACACACCCATCACTAGTGCAGACAACCACACCCATCACTAGTGCAGACAACCACACCCATCACTAGTGCAGACAACCACACCCATCACTAGTGCAGACAACCACACCCATCACTAGTGCAGACAACCACACCCATCACTAGTGCAGACAACCACACCCATCACTAGTGCAGACACACCATCACTAGTGCAGACAACCACACCCATCACTAGTGCAGACAACCACACCCACACACCCATCACTAGAGCAGACAACCACACCCATCACTAGTGCAGACAACCACACCCACACACCCATCACTAGTGCAGACAACCACACCCATCACTAGTGCAGACTAACCACACCCATCACTAGAGCAGACACCCCACACCCATCACTAGTGCAGACAACCACACCCATCACTGCAGAGTGCAGACAACCACACCCATCACTAGTGCAGCAGACAGACAACACACCCATCACTAGTGCAGACAACCACACCCCACACCCATCACTAGTGCAGACAACCACACCCATCACTACACCCATCACTAGTGCAGACAACCACACCCATCACTAGTGCAGACAACACCCATCACTAGTGCAGACACACACCCATCACTAGTGCAGACAACCACACCCATCACTAGTGCAGACAACCACACCATCACTAGTGCAGACAACCACACCCATCACTAGTGCAGACAACCACACCCATCACTAGAGCAGACAACCACACCCATCACTAGTGCAGACAACCACACCCATCACTAGTGCAGACAACCACACCCATCACTAGTGCAGACAACCACACCCATCACTAGAGCAGACAACCACACCATCACTAGTGCAGACACCCACCACACCCATCACTAGTGCAGACAACCACACCCATCACTAGTGCAGACAACAACACACACACACCCATCACTAGTGCAGACAACCACACCCATCACTAGTGCAGACAACCACACCCATCACTAGTGCAGACAACCACACCCATCACTAGTGCAGACAACCACACCCACACACCCATCACTAGTGCAGACAACCACACCCACACACCCATCACTAGTGCAGACAACCACACCCATCACTAGTGCAGACAACCACACCCATCACTAGTGCAGACAACCACACCCATCACTAGTGCAGACAACCACACCCATCACTAGTGCAGACAACCACACCCATCACTAGTGCAGACAACCACACCCATCACTAGCAGACAACCACACCCATCACTAGTGCAGACAACCACACCCACACACCCATCACTAGTGCAGACAACCACACCCATCACTAGTGCAGACAACCACACCCATCACTAGTGCAGACAACCACACCCACACACCCATCACTAGAGCAGACAACCACACCCATCACTAGAGCAGACAACCACACCCATCACTAGAGCAGACAACCCCACACCCATCACTAGTGCAGACAACCACACCCACACACCCATCACTAGTGCAGACAACCACACCCACACCCATCACTAGTGCAGACAACCACACCCATCACTAGTGCAGACAACACACCACACCATCACTAGTGCAGACAACCACACCCATCACAACCACACCCACCCACACACACCCATCACTAGTGCAGACAACCACACCCATCACTAGTGCAGACAACCACACCCATCACTAGTGCAGACAACCACACCCACACACCCATCACTAGTGCAGACAACCACACACCATCACTAGTGCACACCCATCACTAGTGCAGACAACCACACCCATCACTAGTGCAGACATCACTAGTGCAGACACACCCATCACTAGTGCAGACAACCACACCCATCACTAGTGCAGACAACACACCCATCACACCCAGACAACACACCCATCACTAACCACACAACCACACCCATCACTAGTGCAGACAACCACACCCATCACTATCACTAGAGCAACACCCACACACCCATCACTAGTGCAGACACACCCCACACCCATCACTAGTGCAGACAACCACACCCACACACCCATCACTAGTGCAGACAACACACCATCACTAGTGCAGACATCACTAGTGCAGACAACACACCCACACACCCATCACTAGTGCAGACAACCACACCCATCACTAGTGCAGACAACCACACCCATCACTAGTGCAGACCAACTAGAGCAGACCACACCCATCACTAGTGCACACCCATCACTAGTGCAGACAACCACACCCATCACTAGCAGACAACCACACCACACTACCACACCCATCACTAGTGCAGACAACCACACAACCACACCCATCACTAGTGCAGACAACACACACCCATCACTAGTGCAGACAACCACACCCACACCCATCACTAGTGCAGACAACCACACCCATCACTAGAGCAGACAACCACACCCATCACTAGTGCAGACAACCACACCCATCACTAGTGCAGACAACCACACCCACACACCCATCACTAGTGCAGACAACCACACACCCATCACTAGTGCAGACAACCACACCCATCACTAGAGCAGACAACCACACCCATCACTAGTGCAGACAACACACACCCATCACTAGAGCAGACCACACCCATCACTAGTGCAGACACCCACACCAGACAACCACACCCATCACTAGAGCAGACAACCACACCCATCACTAGTGCAGACAACCACACCCATCACTAGTGCAGACAACCACACCCATCACTAGAGCAGACAACCACACCCATCACTAGTGCAGACAACACACCCATCACTAGTGCACACACATCCCACACCCATCACTAGAGCAGACAACCACACACACACCCATCACTAGTGCAGACACCACACCCATCACTAGTGCAGACAACTACACAACCACACTAGTGCCACACACCCATCACTAGTGCAGACAACCACACCCATCACTAGTGCAGACAACCACACCCATCACTAGTGTAGACAACCACACCATCACTAGAGCAGACAACCACACCCATCACTAGAGCAGACAACCACACCCACACCCATCACTAGAGCAGACAACCACACCCATCACTAGTGCAGACACACACCATCACTAGTGCAGACACACACACACCCATCACTAGTGCAGACAACCACACCCATCACTAGTGCAGACAACCACACCCACACACCCATCACTAGTGCAGACAACCACACACCCATCACTAGAGCAGACAACCACACCCATCACTAGAGCAGACAACCACACCCACACACCCATCACTAGAGCAGACAACCACACCCACACACCCATCACTAGTGCAGACAACCACACCCATCACTAGTGCAGACAACCACACCCATCACTAGTGCAGACAACCACACCCATCACTAGAGCAGACAACCACACCCACACACCCATCACTAGAGCAGACAACCACACCCATCACTAGAGCAGACAACCACACCCCACACCCATCACTAGTGCAGACAACCACACCCATCACTAGTGCAGACAACCACACCCACACACCCATCACTAGTGCAGACAACCACACCCACACACCCATCACTAGTGCAGACAACCACACCCATCACTAGTGCAGACAACCACACCCACCATCACTAGTGCAGACAACCACACCCATCACTAGAGCAGACAACCACACCCATCACTAGTGCAGACAACCACACCCATCACTACACAACCCATCATCACTCACTAGTGCAGACAACCACACCCACACACCCATCACCCATCACTAGTGCAGACAACCACACCCATCACTAGTGCAGACAACCACACACACCCACTAGTGCAGACAACCACACCCATCACTAGAGCAGACACACCCACACACCCATCACTAGAGCAGACAACCACACCCACACACCCATCACTAGTGCAGACAACCACACCCACACACCCATCACTAGTGCAGACAACCACACCCACACACCCATCACTAGTGCAGACAACCACACCCATCACTAGTGCAGACAACCGTCTCCAGTTCCACCACAAAGATATCTAGTTAACACGACTACAACATTCACTACGGCAGACAACAATCACAGGTGTTGACAACAATCACTGGTGTTGACAACAATCACTGGTGTTGACAAAAATGACCAGTGAAGACAACTATTACTAGTGCAGACAACAGTCACTTGTGTAGAGAACAATCATTAGTGCAGCCAACAATCATTAGTGCAGACAACAATCACTAGGGCAGACAACAATCACTAGTGCAGACATCTACTACTAGTGAAGACAACAGTCACTTGAGTACCACAACAATCACTAGAGCAGACAACCACACCCATCACTAGTGCAGACCACAACATCACTAGTGTAGAGAACAATCATTAGAGCAGACAACAATCACTAGTGCAGACAACTACTACTAGTAAGGACAACAGTCACTTGAGTAGAGAACAATCATTAAGGCAGCCAACAATCACTAGTGCAGACAACAGTCACTTGTGTAGAGAACAATCATTAGAGCAGCCAACAATCATTAGTGCAGACAGCAATCACTAGTGCAGACAGCAATCACTAGTGCAGACAACAATCACTAGTGCAGACAACAATCACTAGTGCAGACAACAATCACTAGTGCAGACAACAATCACTAGTGCAGACAACCACTATTAGTGAAGACAACAGTGACTTGTCTAGAGAACAACCATTAGAGCAGACAACATTCACTAGTGCTGACAAATACTACTACTGAAGACAACAGTCACTTGTCATTTGTATAGAGAACAACCATTAGAGCAGACAAGATTCACTAGTGCAGACATCAACCAGTAGTTCAGACAACTACAACTATCTCACACACTGTCAGAGAGAACTTCAGTAATATGATCATAAAACAATATTGATACTTGATCTTAAATATATAATATATATTCTACGTTGACTAAGAGTACCACAAGAACTGACCACTGTACCGTTGTGGGGGACAGGTAGCCAGGATCGGCCAACATAACGACTGCTTCCTCGCCTCAGACACGGATTTCGGCACTTACGTAAACAAGCCGCAGGAATACCCATACTTGCAGGATGAAACACTGTACCTCTCCATGGGTGGTGAGACTTGCGCGGACAACCCCCCTAGGTGAGTTATGACTACTGCTGCACTGAAAAGTTCCCAGGTCAGTCCAGGTGATGACCAGTAACTACTGCTGCACTGAAAAGTTCCCAGGTCAGTCCAGGTGATGACCAGTAACTACTGTTGCACTGAACATGTCCCCAGGTAAGTCCAGGTGATGACCTGGTAAAAATGTCGCTCAATTATTATTACACCGTCTCTCACTATACCCAACACCTTCCCTCACTATAACCAACACCTTCCCTCACTATAACCAACACCTTCCCTCACTATAACCAACACCTTCCCTCACTATAACCAACACCTTCCCTCACTATAACCAACACCGTCTCTCACTATAACCAACACCTTCCCTCACTATAACCAACACCGTCTCTCACTATAACCAACACCTTCCCTCACTATAACCAACACCGTCTCTCACTATAACCAACACCTTCCCTCACTATAACCAACACCGTCTCTCACTATACCCAACACCTTCCCTCACCATAACCAACACCGTCTCTCACCATAACCATCACCGTCTCTCACCATAACCAACACCTTCCCTCACTATAACCAACACCTTCCCTCACTATAACCAACACCTTCCCTCACTATAACCAACACCTTCCCTCACTATAACCAACACCTTCCCTCACTATAACCAACACCTTCCCTCACTATAACCAACACCGTCTCTCACTATAACCAACACCTTCCCTCACCATAACCAACACCGTCTCTCACCATAACCATCACCGTCTCTCACCATAACCAACACCTTCCCTCACTATAACCAACACCTTCCCTCACTATAACCAACACCTTCCCTCACTATAACCAACACCTTCCCTCACTATAACCAACACCTTCCCTCACTATAACCAACACCTTCCCTCACTATAACCAACACCGTCTCTCACTATAACCAACACCTTCCCTCACCATAACCAACACCGTCTCTCACCATAACCATCACCGTCTCTCACCATAACCAACACCTTCCCTCACTATAACCAACACCTTCCCTCACTATAACCAACACCTTCCCTCACTATAACCAACACCTTCCCTCACTATAACCAACACCTTCCCTCACTATAACCAACACCTTCCCTAACTATAACCAACACCTTCCCTCACTATAACCAACACCTTCACTCACTATAACCAACACCTTCACTCACTATAACCAACACCTTCCCTCACTATAACCAACACCTTCCCTCACTATAACCAACACCTTCACTCACTATAACCAACACCTTCCCTCACTATAACCAACACCTTCCCTCACTATAACCAACACCTTCCCTCACTATAACCAACACCTTCCCTAACTATAACCAACACCTTCCCTCACTATAACCAACACCTTCCCTCACTATAACCAACACCTTCCCTCACTATAACCAACATCTTCCCTCACTATAACCAACACCTTCCCTCACTATAAAAAACACCTTCCCTCACTATAACCAACACCTTCCCTCACTATAACCAACACCGTCCCTCACTATAACCAACACCATCCCCTCACCATAACCAACACCTTCCCTCACTATAACCAACACCTTCCCTCACCATAACCAACACCTTTCCTCACTATAACCAACACCTTTCCTCACTATAACCAACACCGTCCCTCACTATAACCAACACCGTCCCTCACTATAACCAACACCGTCCCTCACTATAACCAACACCGTCCCTCACTATAACCAACACCGTCCCTCACTATAACCAACACCTTCCCACACTATAACCAACACCTTCCCTCACTATAACCAACACCTTCCCTCACTATAACCAACACTGTCCCTCACTATAACCAACACCTTCCCTCACTATAACCAACACCTTCCCTCACTATAACCAACACCTTCCCTCAGTATAACCAACACCTTCTCTCACTATAACCAACACCTTCCCTCACTATAACCAACACCTTCCCTCACTATAACCAACACCGTCCCTCACTATAACCAACACCATCCCCTCACCATAACCAACACCTTCCCTCACTATAACCAACACCTTCCCTCACCATAACCAACACCTTTCCTCACTATAACCAACACCGTCCCTCACTATAACCAACACCGTCCCTCACTATAACCAACACCGTCCCTCACTATAACCAACACCGTCCCTCACCATAACCAACACCGTCCCTCACTATAACCAACACCGTCCCTCACTATAACCAACACCGTACCTCACTATAACCAACACCGTACCTCACCATAACCAACACCTTCTCTCACCATAACCAACACCTTCCCTCACCATAACCAACACCTTCCCTCACTATAACCAACACCTTTCCTCACCATAACCAACACCTTCCCTCACTATAACAAACACGTTCCCTCACCATAACCAACACCTTCCCTCACTATAACCAACACCTTCCCTCACCATAACCAACACCTTCCCTCACCATAACCAACACCTTCCCTCACTATAACCAACACCGTCTTTCACCATAACCAACACCGTCCCTCACTATAACCAACACCTTCCCTCACCATAACCAACCCCTTCCCTCACTATAACCAACACCGTCCCTCATTATAACCAACACCTTCCCTCACTATAACCAACACCTTCCCACGCTATAACCAACACTTTCCCTCACTATAACCAACACCTTCCCTCACTGTAATCAACACCTTCCCTCACTATAACCAACACCTTCCCTCACTATAACCAACACCTTCCCTCACTATTACCAACACCATCCCCTCATTATAACCAACACCTTCCCTCACTATAACCAACACCGTCCGTCACTATAACCAACACCTTCCCTCACTATAACCAACACCTTCCCTCACTATAACCAACACCATCCCCTCACTATAACCAACACCTTCCCTCACTATAACCGCAACCGTCCCTCACTATAACCAACACCATCTCTCACTATAACCAACACCTTCCCTCACTATAACCAACACCGTCCCTCACTATAACCAACACCGTCTCTCACTATAACCAACACTTTCCCTCACTATAACCAACACCGTACCTCACCATAACCAACACCTTCCCTCAATATAACCGCCACCGTCTCTCACTATAACCAACACCATCTCTCACTATAACTAACACCTTCCCTCACTATAACCAACACCTTCTCTCACTATAACCAACACCTTCCCTCACTATAACCAACACCTTCCCTCACTATAACCAACACCATCCCTCACTATAACCAACACCTTCCCTCACTATAACCAACACCTTCCCTCACTATAACCAACACCTTCCCTCACTATAACCAACACCGTCCCTCACTATAACCAACACCTTCCCTCACTATAACCAACACCTTCCCTCACTATAACCAACACCTTCCCTCAATATAACCTCCACCGTCTCTCACTATAACCAACACCATCTCTCACTATAACCAACACCTTCCCTCACTATAACCAACACCTCCCCTCACTATAACCAACACCTTCCCTCACTATAACCAACACCTTCCCTCACTATAACCAACACCGTCTCTCACTATAACCAACACTTTCCCTCACTATAACCAACACCGTACCTCACCATAACCAACACCTTCCCTCACCATAACCAACACCTTCCCTCACTATAACCAACACCTTCCCTCACTATAACCAACACCGTCCCTCACTATAACCAACACCTTCCCTCACTATAACCAACACCTTCCCTCACTATAACCAACACCGTCCCTCACTATAACCAACACCTTCCCTCACTATAACCAACACCTTCCCTCACTATAACCAACACCTTCCCTCACTATAACCAACACCTTCCCTCACTATAACCAACACCTTCCCTCACTATAACCAACACCTTCCCTCACTATAACCAACACCTTCCCTCACTATAACCAACACCTTCCCTCACTATAACCAACACCTTCCCTCACTATAACCAACACCTTCCCTCACTATAACCAACACCATCCCCTCACTATAACCAACACCGTCCCTCACTATAACCAACACCTTCCCTCACTAAAACCAACACCTTCCCTCACTCTAACCAACACCTTCCCTCACTATAATCAACACCTTCCCTCACTATAACCAACACCATCCCCTCACTATAACCAACACCGTCCCTCACTATAACCAACACCATCCCTCATTATAACCAACACCATCCCTCACTATAACCGCCACCGTCCCTCACTATAACCAACACCATCCCTCACTATAACCGCCACCGTCCCTCACTATACCCACACCATCCCTCACTATAACCGCCACCGTCCCTCATTATAACCAACACCATCCCTCACTATAACCGCCACCGTCCCTCACTATACCCACACCATCCCTCACTATAACCAACACCGTCCCTCACTATAACCGCCACCGTCCCTCACTATAACCAACACCATCCCTCACTATAACCAACACCATCCCTCACTATAACCAACACCGTCCCTCACTATAACCAACACCGTACCTCACCGTAACCAACACTGTCCCTCACTATAATCATCACAGTCTCTCACTATAACCAACACCGTCCCTCACTGTAATCATCACAGTCTCTCACTATAACCAAAACAGTCCCGTCTTAATAACAAACTACTCATCACACAACACACTGACCTACCTACTCATCACACAACACACTGACCTACCTGCTCATCACATTACACACTGACATACCTGCTCATTACATTACACACTGACCTACCTGCTCATCACATTCCACACTGACCTACCTGCTCATCACATTACACACTGACCTATCTGCTCATCACATTACACACTGACCTACCTGCTCATCACATTACACACTGACCTATCTGCTCATCACACAACACACTGACCTACCTGCTCATCAAATAACACACTGACCTACCTGCTCAACACATAACACACTGACCTACCTGCTCAACACATAACACACTGACCTACCTGCTCATCATATAACACACTGACCTACCTGCTCATCACATTACACACTGACCTACCTGCTCAACACATAACACACTGACCTACGTGCTCATCACA